ATGTGGCAAGTGCAGGCACCGGGAGGGACAGAGCGCGGGGCTCAGGGCTGCTCTGCACCTGTGCCCTCAACGCCCAGCTCCTCTCCGAGGGCAGAGGAAGGCTCAGCAGCAAACAGGATTCCTGTGGGCTCGTGTTAGAAAAGCTTTCTTGCCATATTTTTTTTGCTCCCCAAGAAGGACTCTGAGCAAATCTACTGATGGAACATTCCAGATCATTCAAAAGTGACCTTTGGGGGCTCAGATTCGTAAACCAAGAACTTTTAATCCGCTGCCTTTTCCAATTTAAGCCCAGCTATCATTTTCCAGACCTCAGGAAATCCACTCCTGACCCTTTATCAACTAGTCAGACAAGACTAACCTTTGAAGGGTTAGCATTTCTGGGCTCAGGGAAGCTTAGAGAAGAGAGGACTGCAAACCCGTTTAAGAACGACTCTGGGTGCCTCCCCCCAGCAACTCAGGCAGCAGCCCTGAAGTCACCCGAAGCTGGAGACAGAGCCTCCCTAATCCTCCGGAGGCTGGCTAACCGCAGAGGCCCCTGGCAGGCCAGAGCCCAAAGCCAGGAGCACAACCTGAGCCTCCAGCTCGACCACAAGCCCTGCCTGCAAGACCACGACTTGTGAAACAGTAACTGTGAAAGCAGTAGGGCTGGGGCCGCCCCTCCGCCCCTACCGCCCCTCCCGTGGGAACGCACCCTCTTTGATTGGCTGCTTCCCCACCCCCAGGCCTGGTCTACAGCAGAGGGGTTTCCAGAACTGAGCCAGCTAAAGCTATTTAAAACAGCAGCATGTGAGAACTAGAAGGGGCCTCGAGCACAGTCTAATGCAACCCTCTCACTTTATAGAAGAGACAACTGAGACCCCAAGAAGAAGCAACAATGAACCCCCTCCCACCACCACCCTCCATACTCTCCTCCCTCCTCCCACCCCATAAACCTACCAGGCAAAACCTCAAGAAAAGATGGTGATGCCAAGAACAGGACATATAGGAGGGCTGGGTGGGTTCTTTGGGGGTTTGGAGGTGCAAAAAGAATTCTGACAAAACAGCCTGTGCCCTTAAAGGCTGCATTGCTGCCAGCACTGGATTGCTCAGAGGGGGCTCCAGAGCCGCTGGCTGGCTGGGCAATGATTACAGTCAGCACAGCAGCCTGAGTTTAGGTTTCCTGAAACCTCATGCATGGTGTTTGGAGGGGTCAGGGGGCAGTCTCCCCCCAGTACAACCTGGCTCCAATTCACCCAGGAGGAAATCGAGTTGGGAAGAAAGCCACATGGGGTGGAGAAGCAGGGAGGAGTGAAACCAACTTTAGAAAGTCTAGAAGAGGATTCATGCAGCACAAAAAAGCCCAACTGCAACCACAGGGGTGAAGAAGTAAGGACATGCTGCCGGAGGAGCCAGCCCAGTGGCCAGACGGCCAGCTAGTGGGTCCACAGAGGACAGAGGGGGCGGAGGGTTAAATTTAGCCAGGTAAACAGAGCTGCCCCTGGAGAAGGCCTGGCAAGAGCAGGGCAGTCACCTGCTCTTCTCGCTGAAGGGGAAGCCGGGCCAGACGGTATCAAGCAGGAGGTCTGCTTTCCAGGCTTCACCAACGTGCTGGTGGGGGAATGAATAGGCTGCTCCTCAGAGATGGGTAGAAGGCCATTTTTACTTTAAAAAATGGCTCAGATTTAAAATCATTAGGTCTTTTTGTCCTTATCACAGTATCCATCCCCAACCCCTCTGCTGGATTTTTCTGGACTCCTGGATACAATTTGAAGATGCCCCAGTGAAAACCAGCCAAGAATGCCCTTCAGGAGGGTGGGAACCCCCATATTCTCTCTTCACTAGGAGATTTTTATATCTATCGTTCTTATGAATCTTGAGAGACCTGAAGGAGTTACAGAAACAACTACAACAAACTCTGAGGACTGTGTTCAGGTGTGGGGCCGGAACAAGGTGGAGCCTGAAGACTTGTTAAGATGATTAGGGAGATAAATGGCAGGCAGTTTGGAAGGGCACTAGGGAGAACAAATTCAGAACAGCAAACAAGAAAGTTTTTGTGGGCGCATTTTTCAGAGAAGGCAAGGGTTATCACTTCATATAAAAATTTCCTCCCCTGCTAGAGATGCCAGGCCGTGCCATCCAGAAGCCAGCAGAGCTACGCCAGAAGTAACAATTAGGACAGACTGGCCTGGTCTTCTGTCCTCTTGGAGAAGTGCAAACAAAAAAATCTTCCTGCTAGAGCAGTGGCTCTCCACCTTCCGGCCTTTAAACACAGCTCCTCGTGTTGTGACCCAGCCATAACATTATTGTCGTTGCTACTTCACAACTGTAACGTTGCTACCGTTATGAATCGTAATGTAAATATCTGATATGCAGGATGGTCTTAGACGACCCTTGAGAAAGGGTCGTTTGACTGCCAAAGGGGTCGCGACCCACAGGTTGAGAACCGCTGTGCTAGAGTGACTAGAGTAAGAGGAGGGTGAATCCACCAGTGAAGACCATCCCAGGTTTTTTCATTTCACAGCATATGGCTCCCACCAATCTGGCAATATCCCTTTAACTTAAATTTTTGGGGCAGAAAATTTCTTAGAAAAAGGTTGTTTCAAGCCAATAAGACACCCCTGGAGATAGTACAACCACCAAATGTACTCAAGAGAGGACTGATTTCAGACACCCTGAGCAAAAACACACACACACACACACACACACACACACACACCTTCCCTCACATATTCATACTCAAATACACAAGAAATCAGAGCCTGGGAAAGTAGGAAAGCCATGGATAGAAAGGGCCAGCCAGCTCTGGCTCCCGCTCCCCTGGCAGGCAGACCCCACAGTGTATCACACACCCTCTGTCTGATTTTCTTTAGGAAAAGAAGGAATTGCTGCTCAGGGCTACCCTTAGCTATTTATCCACATATTGACTTTTTGTTGTTGCTGTTAATCCTCACTCGAGGATATTTTTCCATTGATTTTTAGGGAGAGGGTAAGAGAGAAGGAAAGACAGAGAGAAACATCAGTGTAAGAGAGACACACTGATTGGTTGCCTCCAGAATGTGCCCCGACCAGGGGCCAGCCAGGAAGGAGCCTGCAACCAAGGTAGAGGTACACATGCCATTGAACGGAATCAAACCTGGGACCCTTTGGTCCGACGCTCTATCTGCGGATCCAAACCGGATAGAGCAACACATATTGCCTCTTTAGGTCCCTTTGCTCCACTCCCTCCGACCCTGGTGTCAGCTCCAGCTGCCCCGGTAGTGGGGAGAGCTGGCGTTAAGCCTCCTCTTTTCCCTGGACTCCCCGGCCTGACAGCACCACCAAGAGCCCAGCTGCATTGCTCCTCTCCCAACTGTGCAGAGGCCTCTCAGCCTTGCCTTTCCTTAGGAGACACACTGGCTCCTTCTCTATTTATAACCCCAGACCTTTTGTGTCACAGAGACACTATTTTGAAATGGAGGAAAACCACCACTCAGCCTTCCACCTGCCTTAGGTCGGTGTGTTAGCCAGGACTTGTGTGTCTGAACCTGGACAGGTGTGTGGGCATAAACTTGGGCCAGCACCCACTCACCCATGCCAGAGATTAGCAGTCTGGCCTTTGAAACCCACAAGCAAATCAGACAGCAGCAGGAGTGGCTGGCACCAGGAAAGGGTCCTCAGGCTTTCTGAGGGTGTGCCCACTGCTCCTGGGTGCTCTGCTGCCTTAGGGACAGCCACGGGAGAGGTCCCCCTAAGCTTCCCTCCAAGTGCCTGCACCAATGCTGGTATGTGGTAGGGGGTGTGACCCTGCCTGGCTGACCCAGAGGTTTCTGCACTCACACAGATGGCATGACACACATGTCCCACCACAGCTCTGTCCAGCGGGCACATTCTTGGTGACTAGAGCAGTCCAGGGATTGGTAACATGATCCTTTCTCCTCCAGGTACCAGGATGCAACTCTGCCCAGGGTGGTAGTAACTGAAAGCTGTTGCCAACGAGGCCAGGTGGCAAAAGCAGTGAAGGCAGAGGGGGTTGCGGGTGGAGAGCAAGTGCCCTCATTCGGAGCTGGGAACCCGCCCCCCTGGACTGAGCAACCTCGGCTTTCTTAACGGTAAACTGAACCATCATCTCTCACAATGAGTGGAGGACGAAAATATCTAGAAATCTGGCCCTGCCTGGAGTGCATGGCCAAACATGCCTGAGGGTCCACGAGAAGATGGGGAAAGAGGTAACTCCCCATTCTCGCGGGGCAGGAACAGATGGGCATAAGGAGCGGAGGAGCAATGAAAGAAAACGGAAACCTCAGACCCCACTCCGGGCTTGACCTGCTCTGGGCTCAGGCAGGAATTCGGGCACCAAACTAACTAGTCCAGGGGCTAAAGTCATCCAGATGTGGTGCTCGCCCCGCCGGGCGGACGCGGGCGCGGACCTCAAGCGGAGCCTTCCAGCTGGGCCCGACCGCGCCGGGAAAGCGAGCGAGGAGATCGGAGGGGCTCACGCTCCTCGCTCCTCGGACCGGCGCCCGCAGGGCCCGGGGAAGTCCCTGCACCCGCCGGAGGGCGGCACCTCCCCGCCACCTTCTCAGACGCCCAACCCTCGGGGACCGGGAGCCGCCAGCGCCCGAGCTGCGGGAGAGGGAGGGAAAACCCGACCCTCGCTGCCCGCGCCCCGCGCCCCGCGCCCCGCACGGCTGGAGGCGGCGAGCGCCCCCAGCTTTGTTTGCTACCTGGGGCGGGACCCCCTTCCTTTTCCGCGCTCCCTGCCCCCACCTGACGGGGCTCGGGGAGCTGCGGACCCCGCTCCCAGCCAGCTCCCCAGGTCGCCTCGCGGAGGGCAGGGCCCGCCCCCGGCACCCCTAGTCGCTCCGGGGGCCGAGCGCCCGCGGCGCCCAACTCAGCCGGCCCGCGGCCGCCGAGGGGGCGGAACCGGGGGCGCTCGGAAGTTTCGGAGGCGGGAGCCGAGAAGGGGCGTCTCCGCGCGGCGAGGCCGGGGGGCCGGGGCTGGGGCGGCCCGCGAGCGCCCCTTTCCCGCAGCCGGCGCTTACCTGCATGTCCCGCCGCTCGTCAGGCTCGCGGGCTCCGGCTCCTCCAGCGACGGCGGCGCTGGGTCTGCTGGGCGCGGCGAGCGGAGGCCCGGGGACGGCGGGGCCGGGGCCGCTCCCCTCAGCGCGCAGGCGGCTCGAGCTGCCGCACCGGACTCCGCATCCGCGCCGGGCGCGCTCCGCTCCGGGTCCCGCCGGGCCGGGGGCCGGGGCCCGGGCCGCCTCCGCGGGATGCGCGCTGCCCAGCCCGGGCGGCCGCGGCCCTGGGAGCCTGCGCTCGCTCCTGCCGCCGGGAGGGCGCCCCGCTCCGCGCCCGGGACCCCGCGCTCGGCCGGCGGGAAAGTCGGGTGCGGAGCTCGCGCCGCGCAGAGGGAGGCCCCGGGCCCTGGACGCCCGGCTCCGGCCCAGCCGTCGGTCGTCGCTGGGCTGCACGCTCTCCCCTGGAGCGCGGGACCCCGAGAAGTTTCGGCCGAGTCGGCTGCGGGCGAGCGACGGCCGCGGCTCGGCTGGGAGTGCCCGGCGGGCGCCGAGCGAGCGGATCCGAGCCCCGCCGCCTCCGCCCCGCCCCGCCCCCGCGCCTCCTCCCCGCCCCCGGCCGCCGCGCTCACTCCTTCCCCCCGGCGAGCCCGCGACCCCCGCCCGGGGCTCCTCCCAGCGCTGGGACCGTGACCTCCGCACCTGCCCTGCCGCCCGGGCGGACGCGACTTCTCCCTCGGCCTCTGGACGGAGCCCCTGGGCCTTGACGGGGGTGTGGATGGGGAGCCCCCGCCCAGCCCCCTCCCCAGCCCGGAGCACCCACCGCCTCCCGCTCTGCCCCGGCCAGCAGCCCCCGCGGGCGCCCAGCACCCCTGTTAGGAGCACCCACCTCAGGGGCTGCGGAACTGGAGGCACTGAGGGGAGAGAGTTACATCAATAGCTCTTGTATTTACATCAAACTTGCACGCGCTTTATCCTCCTTTGAGTCCCCCCAAAGCAGTAGAGCGGGCTGTTACTTCTGCTTTTCCAACCCAGCCATTCCTCTCCTGCCCTGACCTTCTCCTGCAGCCCCCAGCAAGAGACCTCGGGACAGGACATTTGATGGGGGCGGGGGCGGGGGCACACCAAGAAAACTGTGTCCAACGCATTCTTTATCGCTTCTGACAACTAAGGTTGAGTTATTCACCCGACTTTTTGAGGGGAAACCAAGACACAGAAAAGTGGCACCTTCAGTCCATAGCCGCTAAAGGGAGTCAGTGCCTGAAAATATCACTGGAGTCCAGTGTTTAGCCTCAGCTCAGACCGAAGTTTAAATACTTTTATTGAGGTTCCAAGTCCTCTTAACACCCCTGGGTGACCTGCCCCAAAGGGAGTTCGCCAGGGTCCCAGGGGACGCAGGCGCTTGACCCCGGGCTCCTGACCCTGTTCCAGACTCAGGGCAGGGGCCCACCAGGCGCAGCCAGCACCCTTTGAGGCCTGCTCTCCAACTGCCTTTTCTTCTACAGTTTGGAGCCCATCTCTTTCCTGAGTAAGTCAGAGGCCGCCTGCTAAAGAAATTGCCTTTGAAAGCAGTACAGTGTGTGTGTGTGGGGGGGGGGGGGGCGGACAATAGAAATAATCCTAGGTTTTGCCTCTTCTTAATTAGTAACCAAACAAGGCGGCAGCCTTCCCCTTTCCCTTTCCCGGGCTTGGGGCTGCAGGGAGAGTGAGGGGAAGAGGGAGCAGGAGCCCATTACAATGGGTTGGCAATAGGAGCTATTGTCCTCCGGTTTTTTTACAATAAGGAAACTAAGAGCTGTTTTAGCAAATACCAGACTAATTAGAGGGAAAAGCTTCCTTGGAGCTGTGCTGGCTTGGGCCGGAGGTGCACTACGACTTTCTCACCTCACAGTGAATGGGGTTTATGAGACCAGGTCCAGCAACCTTAAATGAGTGGTCTATAATTGCGAGGTGGGGGGGGGGGGGGAAGGGGGGGAGGGTTGTTTTCACCTAGGGGAGCTAGTTCAAGGCTTTATCTCTGGGGACAGATGGGACAGGGAGAAGAGCTGGTCTAAAGCAGGCATAAAAGCTTAGAATCCACTTTGTCCAATTAAAAACATGCCCAGTTCCTCTCCTCAGAATAAGCGTGGATTCTGAGGTTAGGATCTATGTGGGAGGTCAAGGAAAGGCCTTGTCTAGGAGGCCCTGATCGTTCTGGGATGCAACCGGGGAGAATTTGGGGATTCGCTTCATACACACATATGGACCCCAAGAACACAGAGATGACTGAGACCAGTTCCCAATCTAAAGGAGTAAGGTGGGGGTAGGGGACAAATTTCTCATTTGGGGTCTAGAATGAGCACAAGAAGGGACAGCTTGGCTTGGTCTCCCTCTGACAACCCAGGAGGAGAGCAGGTGACAGATGGATGCAACCCCAGCTAATGTCCCACACGTAGCCCCCCGCCTCCCACCATCTCAGTCCAAGATGAGTCAAACCTTGTGGCCCAGGAAGGGGAGCTGCAGTGCCCCCAGGAAAGGAGCTTGTGGCTGAGCAGCTGGGAAAGCATGCAGTGAGGAGCCCTGGGCCAGCTTCCCAAGGGAAGTGGTGCGCGCCCCATTGCTTGAGTCACCGAGCTGCTGGGGAGTCTACAGCCAGCCCTGGGGGCAAGTGCTGGTGGGAATGAGAGAGCCCTCACCATGTTTTGTCTGTGATTGCTGGGTGGGGTCTCTTGCCTTCTCCCCTGAATAAAACATATCCCAACTTGGCATTTGTGGTTGAAACAAAGAAAGAAAAAAGCACGTATCTGGACCTATGGAAAGTTGTAATGATTCCTGCTCTGTTTATTGGAGACAAGGTTCCCCCTTCTTTGTCATGCCCTCCCAAGCCATCAGCCACACTTAGAGGCCTCTTCCAAGCCAGAATGCGGAATAACAATCCTGTGGGAAAGAGTAAGAGAGAAGCCAGTCTCCTCCACTTCCTTAGCTCTCTGTGGCCTTCCTGTGGGGGTACATCTAGGCTGCCCTCCCACCCTGGGGCGGTGCATTTTAGGGTAATTGTTCCCTTTCCCCCAACACCAGGAGGAAGAGCTCCGGTGTCGATGCTGTTCCTGCTGCTGGTGCACCCCTGTTTCTGGAGAGTCCTACCTTCCTCCCAGGCGGCTTCTCTGGCCCCTATCAAAGGGGGTTGGGGATGCATGGAAAATTCCTCGGGGGAACCAGCCTGAGGAGCCTTTAAAGCCCAGAACAAGACAGAGAGGCAAAACTAATAACCCTTTTATCCCAACTTTACCTCTGTTGTCTGTGTGATTCAGTGTTCATTTTGTGCTTGTTATCTAGATGTCTTTCTAAAAATGAGGGCTTAACAAAACTGATAGATTCTGACCTAAATGTCCAAACACTGTCCATAGATGACCCCACAGGGAGGCAGGAGCCATTTGGGACATCTGGATAAAGGCAATTCTAAGAGCTGAAGGCACGGCTTGATAAGAAGGAAACTGCAGTTCACTTGTAGGGGAAAATGTTCCCACCAAAAACCAGGCAGCTGAAGGGGTTTGTATAAAGGCAGGAGAAGGGCTACACTATTGACAGCCTTAGCACCTAATATGTGCGGAGGACTTACCAGTTCATAAACTGCTTTTACACTTTTATCTTAACTGAGATTCATCAAATAAGATTAGTCCTGTTCATCTCACTTGGAGGGCTCCCCTCTGACCAATTCTCCCCCAAAGAGAGGCAACAGCTCTCCATGAAGGAGGTCTAGTGTGGCTACTGAGCAGGTGGCTCCGGGCCAGCCCCTGAGGAAGCCAGACTTGCTACCTTAGTCATCTCGAGTAAGACACTGATCTCTCTAAGGCTGTTTCCTCATCTGAAAGCAGTGGTGGTAAGATAACCTTCCTCATGGAAATGTGAGAGTGAAATAGGATAGTGCAGATAAACCAAGAACCGTGTCTTCCATATAGTATCTATACTAATAAAAGGGTAATATGCTAATTAGACCAGATAGACCGGACGTCTTCCAGATGTCCTTCCTGACAAAGCCCGGGCCTGGGTAAAGCTGCCTGAGGTCCCAGGTGCCTGCTGGCAGCCAGAGGAGAGAAGCCTGGGTCCCGGGTGCTGGAGGAAAGTCGGTGCTAGCAACCGGGGGAAGGAAGGCCTACTCTTGCATGAATTTTTGTGCATCGGGCCTCTAGTGTACTCAATAAATATTAACAATAGTTAATAGACCTGGCTTTCCATTTAGACAATCTAATGTTACTCTCAGTCCTTGAACTCCTGGATTTTGACCCCATTTTTTCTCCCAGAAGAAGACAGAGTCCTAAACAGTTCTCTGAATGAATTGCTGCTGTAACAATATCTAGGATGAAGCAGTTGAAGGGTCACTACACACCACAAGCCCAGATCAGCCAGTGATGGAGGAAAGAGTTCTGTCATCCCGTCAGCGCCGCTGGTCAAGGCCCAGTAAGGAGGCAATGGGCAGTTCTCGTGAACGTGGTCCTGGTAATCAGCTGCTCTGATGCTCAGCTGAAAATGCAGCACCGTTTGGGTTGTAGTCGCCATGAAGTGCTGCTTTCCTTCTGAGTCTGCAGCATCCCCATGGCCCTCCTGCTTCCCCTTCTCAACTCTGACTAAAGTCCTTCCATGTACTCTGTACTGATGGCCATTATGGAGGAAACGAAGACAGGGCACCCACCCTCATGGGCTCTGGCCTGGGTACGTGCAAATGGGACCCAACAAGGACAGGTGCCTGGTCTGCAAACGCCTGGGGCAGGAGCCTGGCAGCTCCAGGCCATCAGGGCTGAGGGTGGAGGCCTGAGCTCACCGTCTCTTCTTGAAGGGCGCTTGACCTTGCCCAGAGCCTTCCCTCTCTGGGCCTCAGTGTCCTCACTAAATTAATTTGTGATGGAGTCAAGGGGGAAATTGGGAAAGATGGATGTGCGGATGGGAGACAATGAATTTGACTTCATCTACATTTCATTCGAATGTCAGTGGGGGCATCCAAGTGTTGACAGCAAGAAATAGTGAACTGGAAGGGGGTTAGAGGTCAGGGTGGCTGAAGAGGCAGTTTCAGTGAAGTGAACTGATAACACTGAAAGCCAGCGGCCAGGGGTCAAGGGGGGAAGATGGTGAGGGAGTGTGGGTAACCCCTAGGAGTGTAACTAGGAAGAGGGGGGACTACAGGAGGGAAGGGGCCCTGGGGTCAAGTGATGCGGTTTCCACAATAAGGGAGTCCTGGACACGCTTGAAAGCGAGAGAAGAAAAGTGAGGAGGGTGAGAAATTCCTATTGTTAGAAAGGGATGGGGAAAGGCTGGGCGGAGAGGAGGCCAGGAGCTCAGTGAGGGGGGCCCACATTCCAGAGCCTGAGGCACCCCTTCCTTCCCACTCGCAGGAGCCGGCTGGTTAGGACAGTTAGGTGGACAGGAAAGGCAGAGTGAGAGCGAGGAAAGCAGAGTGCATTTGCTATGAGGAGCCTCCTTGGGAAGCGCTGACGTGCCTGTGGGATTCACCCTGTGCCAGACCACAGGGCATCTCAAGGTCATT